ACACCTGTATGGCACGTTTCGTTCGTTCTAGCTAAGATGCTGGAGCCACGTGAACGGCCGCAAGCTGGAAGTGTGACGAGGGACAGGTTACCAGTGTTGATGTTCACCGTTGTAGTGCGTTTCGCGAGCCTGAAGCTCGCACACACGGTTGGCAACGGGATGATACACATAGGCAGTTTTATTATTATACTTATTAAGGCGTAGCAAGGGTGGCTGCCCAGAGATTTCACCAACGTCATACAGCGTTTTTGGGCAGTGCCATGTTGCTCTCAAAAAGACTTCACCAAATAAACGTTAGAAGATTGTAATTTTTACCTCCGAAAAACATTATTCATTTTTGATCACTGAAATTTTACAATCTCAGCCCGGTACTCACTGGAAACATAGAGGTCAATGCTATGTGCACGTTGTATTGCTTCATCTTATAAGTTGAGGTGAAGTTTTTGAGATATAAGGTGAGCTATTATTTTGTCGTACTGCACCCTACCTTCAGAAACATTGTCAACAATATCGAAAATTATCAATTTATCCCTACAAGACAGACCTTCCAACTCAATTCGAAAAATAATAGCAGCTGTTTCGCTTCTCACTCCTCGCGGAAGATCTAGACCATAGTGACCCGAAGTATACAATCATACAACATTGTCTCAACTGTCACTAGGTTACTAGAAAGACCGGTTACTTTCTGTTCTAAGAGAGATTAGATTGGTTAGAACTTGGCTAAGTACGGCAAGAAGTTCTAAAAAGACAGGTAAGCATGCTGTTCCATAGGGCCTCATCTTCAGCACTGATAAGCCGAAAGCGCATTTTAGTTTCTTCAGAGCAAACCATTCAAGCAAGTTCGCGTAACAAATGCACCTCAGAAGGTGACTACAAATCTAAGCTTGACACCCCAGCTACTAGCGTAAACTATTTCTCACCCTTTTTTTTACGTGTCCCCAAGAAGACAGAAGACAACCGAAGATGGCAGTGACTTCACGAGGTAGTAAACCTTTTCGGATGCAGAAGTGTAAGCACGATTGACATATCAAAACAACTATATTTCACTTCACCTTATGCAGGTCAGAAATTCTAGAAGAAAGGTGTCCGAAAACTGACAACCCCTGGCCGACTGTACGAGAAAAGTATTCTAGTAGTATTTTTCCTCAGCGTGCTGGTGCGTAAGTTTGCTGAACATGTTATTTGAGCCACACAGCTCGGGACTGGAAAGGAACAAAAACAGTTGAGCCCTAACTACAGATTCTCTCTCCCTTTTTGATCTCTGCTCATGCCTATAATCTTAACTTGAGCGAAACCTTGCACACATGAGCATGACTTGACAGGCGCCACAAGATGCTCACTATATCTTTCAGCTATGCTTTTGGAATCTCCCTCGGGCGATCATAAATACACCCCCCGGTTTGTCCTGTAATGATGACAACCTGAAGTACCATGCGAACAGAATAGCAGAAAGAGATGGTGGGCATCTTCTGGCACATGTAAAGTAATGCTCATGTGTGCCAGGTTTCGCGCAACTTAGGATTTTAGGCAAGACCAAGAATCAAACAGAGAGAGAGCTATTACGAGCGTTTGACTTTAAAGAGAAGGGGTTAGCTAGTGTCAGTGACACATCAATCGCGGCTTTTGTATCTGAATTATCCTTTTTTAATACACAACTTTTTAGAGTACAGCATGTCACTTTTTTACGCATCTGCGCATACTCGAAAGTTTTGGCCTGCAGCATTTGCCGTTACTAAACAATTGGTAGTTGATGCTCAACTGTTTGTCTTCCTTGCAAGTCTGAAGGTTACTAGCGTTTTGCCCCAAATAACATCTCCAGTGAACTTACGCATCAGCTTGCCAAGAAAAATTTCGTCTAGATTACATTGCCTTTGAGAGACGAAAGCATTCCAACACGTTGCGACCATTGGACGATCTCCCACTCACCATGCAGATGCTCTGAAGGCAGCCAAGGCTCTTCTGTGCTTTTTCAGGACTACGAACCTATGCGAACGCCTGATTTGATGTAGAGCCACCGCTAAACCCACGTCAGCGCATTTACTTACACTTTTTTTGTCTCCTTTGCTTTTTTTCTCCTATCCCTCTCTCATTTTCATACTCCCATTTCCAATTTCCCTAGCTCATTGTAGCCCCGCTGCGGCGATCTAGTGGCTTGGGTACTCGGCGGCTGACCCGCAGGTCGCGGGATTGAATCCCGGCTGCGGCGGCTGCATTTTTGATGAAGGCGGAAATGTTGTAGGCCCGTGTGTTCAGATTTTGGTGCACGTTAAAGAAACCCAGATGGTCTAAACTTCCGGAGCCCTCCACTATGGCGTTTCTCATAATGATATGTTGGTTTAGGCACGTAAACCTCACATATCAATCAATCAGTCAGTCGAGCTTGGTGTAGCCAACTTAGGCAGGTGACTGGACAGCCACCCTGTCTTCCCTCTTGTTAACGCTATAGCTTTAAGAGCTCGTTTTGCAGGAGTTCCGGCGTCGGCGTCGACATCATTGGCTGTGAGTGAGGAATTTTCATTTCTACATGACCGGAAAATCCGGAAAGGTACAGATACAATAAATCCTGAAAAGTTTGGGTCCGAGTGGGTATCGAACCTGGGTCACATATGTGATAAGCGTGTGCTCTACAACAAAGCCACGCCTCTGCTAGTGATTATAGTGAAGATTGCTTCCACTGCTTCGAAATGTCGTGAAAGTAATTTTTACGCTTGGAAAACACACACGTCCTGTATTCCTTCTTCAGACTACATTATGAAATACTGGGTTTGACTTCATAGTTAAAAGCCACTCACTCACTACAAAAGGCGCACACGTTACTACACCCTGAAGGCCAGTTCTAAAATATTTCACTCACCAAGTGTTCGAAGTGCCCACTTGGAACAGAATATCGCTCTCGCGTTCTACTCCTATAGAGGCGAAGCTCCCGCTGCAAGTACACTGCGGCAGCATTTGCTGCAGTCTCGTTCCGGCTCGGCACGCTGTGTACTTGTCGAATTCATAATTGTGTCGCTGACAGAGACGTCGGATTGCTAGGTTTGGGTACCCGTGAGTCAGTAGTTGTCTCCAGGCAACGTGATGTTTCTTGTTTAGTTAGAGCTGGGTAGTGAACTTCTGCTATGTCTTCTCTGTCAAGACATTAGTAGTTTTTAAAATAATGCTTACTCTGTTTAAACTGAAGAGTAGTGTGTGCCTCTGAAGGTGGCTTTACAATCCCCGAACTTTCACTCCCACAGAGTTCTCGAGGTGCGCCCCGCCGCGGTGGTCTAGTGGCTAAGGTACTCGGCTGCTGACCCGCAGGTCGGGGGTTCAAATCCGGGCTGCGGCGGCTGCATTTCCTATGGAGGCGGAAATGTTGTAGGCCCGTGTACTCAGATTTGGGTGCACGTTAAGGAACCCCAGGTGGTCGAAATTTCCGGAGCCCTCCACTACGGCGTCTGTCATAATGATATGGTGGTTTTGGGACGTTAAACCCCACAAATCTAAGTTCTCGGGGTGCGTGACATGTAGGGAATGCACGGAGGCGCACCAGTTCACTGTATACGGCTTCGAGTCACCGCGTGGGCCTTAGTGCTGCCTGGGAATGGAGCGTCCGTCTGCGGGGGCGGCCCTCCAGACGTAAAAACTGCAGTTGTGCAGCAATTGTTGCCTCGTGAATTAGGAGAATGTGGACCGAGTACGGCAGAGGTCCGGCCACTGGCATTGTTGAATTTGATCGCCAGAGGATTGCCTATCATCCCCCGGTGTCTGCAGTATAGCTACCACGAGCGCTATCACCGCACCTTCCGCCATCTCCGTATCTTCCGCGCATCATCACGCTCGCGATGCAAGTTGCTCCGTTATCCGTGATCGCGACCACAAAACTTGAAGAGCAGATAGGAATAGCGTAATCAGGCACACATCGCCGTCTGAATCGCTAGGCTGACACCGTTTTCGGTGCATGCCTCAACCTTGCCCTGAGGAAACGAAAGACTGTGCGCGTGGCAATGGCTGTTACAAAGTATCTTCCTACTGCAAGCAAAGTTAATTGCTCACTAGGCCTTAATTATTCCTTTTTTTCTTAATAGGCGAACGGCCCAATACGCATCCGTACGGCATTATGCGATCCGATGCAGCTGCTCATTTTATCGAAGTTTCTGCTTCTGGTAATTATTAAATATCTTGGAGCGCTTCGCTACCAATAGACCTTTAAGACTCCCACTAGAAGTTAATTGCACATATTGTGACAACTTGCACGAATATACGCTCCTGACACGTGATATTTGACGCATTTACGGGACTCTTACGACAGATATAGTGTTTTTATTATTCTTTTATTTTTCGAACCAGTTCCAACAATTTCCCTGCCTCCGTTGTAGAACAGCTCTTTGTAACATAGTCAGCCTGGCTTTGATCCTCTCGATGGCCCGAATTTTTTTATTGTTTAAGTTTTTCGATTTGTCATGAACGAACAAGGTCATAATTTTTCACTCTCAACCAACGACACCAATGCCCACACCGGCGCCGCTGCCAAAATTTCTCAATGGTGTAGCATTAACTCGCGATGATACTAATAACTGTGCGCATCTACGTAAATCGTTTTTTACTCTTTCGGAATAGCAACAAAAATTTCCTAAACGTAAGGCTGCGCTTACGCGTGAACGATACAAGAAAAAAATATGCTGTTTATTTTTGGTCTACCTGTAGTACACTATTTTTTTCAGAGCAGTACGCATGAGATATACGTGCCGCTTGACATCGCGTGGCCGGCACTGGAATAAAAATACAGTTGCCGCGCAGCAAAATTAGTGATAATAATTGAATTCGCAACAGCGTTTTTTTGTAGAAACAGTTTGTTCTTGAATAATCATGCATCAGTCCACAAAAATAAAACAACAAAACAGTTGTTTAACTTGCAACTTCTAAAAGTGAACCTATTATATTTCAAATGAACGTACTGGCAAGAACTATTTTTCGTAACTTAAAAAAAAATGTTTTTTGTAGAGAAAAAGTTAAGTGTGCCACAGAAGAAATGAAAGCGCACAACAAAAAATCACGCCTTTTTGACACACCTCATGCGAAGTTTTTGAAGCAAGACATATTCAAATATATTCTTCATCACACTTCTGCCAAAGCGCCATGAGCGCTGCAGTATGTGCGAATAAATAAATATAAAGTAAATAAACACGAAACTTCGTAAACGAAAGTTGAGTGCTTGAAGGGACATGTCACGTTCCGATAAACAAGGTAAGTGCCGCAACCAAAAGCAGACAGCCGGGCGGTGCTGTGGCCTGAAAAGAAATATGAAATGGTGCGCCATTTTATGCATGCAAAGATGCAAATAAACCTAGCGAACACTGCAATCAGTTTGACAGTATAGCGAGTCAGTGACACTCTCAGTAAAAATTCAATGCAATAACAAACTTATTGATACTGCGTCAGTTTCAGCGGAACTATACTGCACAACATTTCTGAGTTGTGCTTCATGCTCGAACATTTCTGTATAGAAGTTACCTTCAGTTGATACGTAAAGACACATCAGGCTTGTCGACATCATCTGCGATAGTTTGACACGACTTCAGAATGTTGCACACTGTTAACCGTGAATCGGCTATAATGAGCATTCTTGACATATTTATTGTTTATTGGCAGAGAAAATTTTCAGTTGGAGTCCACAGAATGAATGAACCGAATCTGCATAAATACGGCGAAAAGTGTCCTGTAAAAGGCGAAGAATCTTCTGAAATACAATTCATTTCAACAAAATTTTATTTTGGCATGCAGACAGATATACCTTTCTCGCTTCCCATCTCTTAAGTATCAACTTGCAGGCCAGAGAAATGCTCCGTAAAAGCAAGCAACACGAATAATGAACTAAAATCTACCATGCAAATCAATCTTCATGAAATCGTCTTGAATAGACCAGCAACTCTCGCTACACGGTAACTTCGCTCACCTGGTGGCGCAGGAGTTTCTGAACTCTATACTGAGAACTTTGAGCTTAAAACTCGGAACTCTTTAACCCTAAATTCAACCCAGAAAACTACGCCATTTTTTAAAATGCTTCTTAGATCAATATTTTATGATTGGACCGATACAGAAGAGGGTTAAATATATAAAATTTCTCAATGAAGTTAATCCACACATAACGTGCACATATACGTAATGAACAAGTAAAATACATTTTCTTATTTTATTCACGTTCATGTACAAGTAAAAGACTAACTACTAAGTTTGAAATGAAAAACTTACAGATATGAAGCAATACCTTCGCTACAATAGTTGTAAACCTCATCATTGCAAAACGAGCAGCCACTACTCGAAGGCCCATCGATTCGGAATTCGCTTCCACCACGAACACTTCAAGGTCAACGCAGAGAACATGCGCACATACTTGTAAAGCAACACTATCCTACCTCCATGGTCAACAATTCCGTACGCAAAAAGGCAAACCTCGATCGCCTGCAGTTACTTTGCCAGCAGAAATAATTAAAACACGAGGGACATAAAAACTTAGGATGAAATTTTCGAAGCAACCCCCCCCCCCCCCTAACGCAAAGGAAATTCTAAAGACAATTCATCATCTTGAAAGAGGGGAAACGGCTATTCGGAATTTTCTCTTCCCCTTCGTGAGTTGTATACAGACGCCCCAAAATAATCAGGGTTATCTCGTGCGTTTGTAAACTGATAAGACGCCCATAACTGGATGTCAGCCATGCGGCAAAGCTCACAGCAGGGTGTGCAAACACATACAGGCTACTAACGTGGCTGAAACCACACATCCCGATTCCGAGCACTCTATATCAAGCCCTAATTGCGACAGATCAATCTTAGTCTACCTTCTCGAGTGCGCAATATGCAGGGTTCAGTACATTGGCCAAACGGACACGGCCTTTGGAACCCGATTTGAGAACCATTGTTCACATGTTCAATCTCTACCGGATTGGCCTTTTGTCTCGGTATATAATTTTGTTTCGGTATATAAATCATTTGATTCTTTCAAGGATATGCTCTTATAAAGCGGTGTCTCCAGAACACGGAGCAAGAAGAGCGCGAATCAAATATGGTTTAAAAATTCAAGGGATTGAAGCCTCTACGAACCGTTACTCTAGGCATATTTTGAACAACGAGTGCTTTAGAAGATGCAAGTAAATTATTCTTAGCCATACCTTTCTCTCTCTCTCTCTTTGTCATTTTTTCCTCTCTCAGATATTTTCAGGTGCACGCTGTCGGGTATGCCTCCTGAGAAAGAAGGCACCTTTCGAATAATCCTCCATACGATGAAACTACTGCGCTAATACTCGTCGAGTGACTAGTGCCGTCTTTCGTTGGTGAATTCGAAGTGACCCATGAACTGTGGTGGTGGTGGTGGTGGTGGTGGTGGTGTTGTTGTAGCAGGCGGGGTTAGCCTGGCCTGCATGGCCGCCAATTGTTCCGCCTGAGCATCTCCTGAATTTGGAAAATGTCACCACGTGTCAGACAGCCCAGTGTCTCGCAGGAAGACTAACAAAATTCTTTGCACGTTCCTCCTAGTTGCCGCGGGTCCTTCAGGAAAGATGATGTCATCAACTGTCCGGTGCCTATGACAGCCTTTTCGCAAGATGCGGATCATCGCTGCTCTTTGCACATCAAACTGTGGGCAAAGCCAAATGAAATGTTCAATATCCCCGATGTCACCGCAGAAGGCACAGAACGGGAAAGCGTATCTTCCAGTCTTGAATGACCAGGCCGGGGTGTATGCGGAGCCGGTTCTAATGCGGTACAACAGCGTCGCTTCTTCACGAGAAAGTCCATGAATTACACATGCTTGGTGTGGAAACTTGTAGATCGCCTTTGAATGATTGCGTATCACATCTTTGTTGTTCTGGTAAGTCTTGGGAATTCCTACTTTTGGAAACGCTGTACGTGCTTCGCATGCAAAGGCATCAGCCTTTTCATTGCCCTCAATGCCAACGTGGGATGGAATCCACTGGAACTTTATATTAAAACTCTTGCCGTTTAGGTGTTTGATTAGTGCCAGAGATTGCCTGATGAACTTTTCTTGAGGTAGGCCACGATGCAGTCTTTGTAGCGCCGATTTGGAGTCCGTCAGCACTACAACATCTCGTGCAGAAAAGGATCGCAGTTTTCGCAAAGCCGCCGTAATTGCAGCGCTTTCTACCGTTGTGGATGAAACCACGCGATCCAGGCGGCCCGACCATGACACGCCCAGGCAGGGTATGCAGAAAGCCGCTGCGCAGCTATCCGTCTGTGTGCACACTGATCCGTCGGTGTACACTTGTAGGTGGCCGCGGTACATGGTGCTCAAGTGGTCCAGCGCAAGAAATTTTGCTTCCACGGCTGGAATGGTGCGCTTCGCTGGTAGATTGGGTACGCTGAAGTTGCACGCATCATCCACAAAAGACCATGGCGGGTTCATAGGGCACCGTTTAGGCAGTTTCAAGCCTAAATAATGAAATGTGTTAAGTACCGCGTTGAACTGTGAGCCAGTTCTTGCTCTTAGCCGCAGGAGAAGCGCCGTGCCTGCGAAGGACTCGCCCAGTCTTGACAGCTGCGTCAATAAGGCCTGAGACGCCAAAAGGCGCAGCGGAAGAGACTCGGCTTCATCGGTGACCTTCGTGTTTGAAGCCGCCTGAGGGACTCCCATCGCCAAGCGAAGACCCTTTCTGTGCACTGCCTCTAGGCGTTCGAACTCTCTTGGTGATGGTGATATCAGGGGCAGCTGATAAAGAATGCTGCTTGTTATAATCGCATCATTCAATTTAAGCATGGACATAGGATTGTTGCCCCAACGGACCCCTGCCATGCGACGAAAAGCGTTGATCCTTTGCACTGATGCAGTGACTATACCATCAACCGCACGTCGCCATAATAGCTTGTTGTCGATGGTAATGCCCAGGAAACGGACACTTGTTGCACAACGAATTGAGTGGCCTCGAATATTCAGCGACAGACGTGTTGACTTCCGTCGTGCTCCCGGGAAGAGCATGAAGGCCGATTTTTCCGCTGATAAAGATAGGCCAAGTGTCAACAAGTGACGCTCAATGATTGAAATAGCGCTTTGTGCTATCCGGGCCAAACGTTTGTGCTGGTACCCTGAGATCCAAATGCAGATGTCAACGGCGTAGATGGATATTTTAACTGCTTTCAGAGCTAAGTGCAGAGTGTCGGGAAGGCTGGCCATGGCAGCGTTAAAAAGCAAGGGAGATGAACCCATGAACTCTGCGTCAGAGCACTCCACTCTGGCGGAGGGCAAGAGAAGCTAAGCTACCAATGAAACACATGTAATCTATCTCGAGCAAATGGCTTAGTCAGAATTGAATGCGATGCGCGCGTCGCTCAGTCAGAATTGAATGCGATGCGCGTTCGAGTGGGCACGCTGGGCACAGCAACGCTACGCTGGCAAAACGTGTGTTCCGACGGGAGGCGCAATCGACGCTACCAGCGAACGCTGGCGCGGCCTAAGTTGGCAATGTTTCAAGGCATGGGGCGCTTGCGCCTTCCGGTCGAATCCGCCGATTTTCGCGGAGTCGAAAAAGTTGCTCCCTGGATCTCGCGTCGGAGCTGCTCCAGATCTGCCAATGGGGACATACAAGGAGCACTCTCAATACGCCAATGAAATAGGCTTGCTCCGCATCGAGCAGAAGAAAATATTACCGAAACTGGTCCGAATCTGGTAATGAATCACACAATAAAAGAATTCACTCCACTGCTACAAAAAATTTGAACGAAAGATATTCACCATTCTCTTATTTTCCAATCTCTCCAGTAGCCAATTTTAATCCGTAAGTGGGAGGATGTAGCTCTGCGTTTTTCATGGAATGTACCTGTTCTGTGCCTTTTTCGCGACTTGTACTAAGCTTTCAGACTGTTCACCTTTTTTTAAGTGCTCTCCACTTGTTGTGAAGCTTTTTGTCACTCTCCTTCACGAGCGAATGAGGAGATGTGACATAAGCAAATGTGGACCACGTGTGTATATGTACACAATTTTAATTTGTTTGGCCAGTCCTATTTTCGTTTGTTTTTGAGAACCCTCGATGGTGGTCGAGTGGCTAAGGCACTCGGCTGCTCTCCCGCAGGTCACCGGATCGAATCGCGGTAGCGGCGGTCGCATTTTTGATCAAGGCGAGAATGCCTAAGGCCCGTGTGCGTAGATTAGGGTGCACGTTAGAGAAGCCCGTGGGTGGTCGGACTTTCCGGAGTGCCTCTTGGCACCTCTCTTAACCATACGATGGTTTTAAATCACTAAACCCGTACAATTATTATATTAATATGGTAAAGTTAGTTCTAGTTCTAGGTGAGGAGCAAAATTTGCAGAAAACTTAAGCAGACGCGCGCGTGACACAGTTTGTTCGCAGTTATTCGCAACGCACTTGTTCTCTAATCCTGGCGTAGACCAGTGCACCGTTCGAAACCATTGGTAATGAAAATAAGACAACCACTAAGTTGTGTCTCACCTTTTAATATATATATATATATATATATATATATATATATATATATATATATATATATATATATATAGTTCGTGCCGAACTGAGGCAGGTCATACGAGAGCCAGAGCGTGAGCTGCAGCCGGTTTGATTCGACCTATCCGAACATACTCTGAAGTTATCAGACAACCGACACTACACAGCAATGCAGCAGTTGCGATGGCGGTGACTCCTCTCCCACCTGCAGCACGCAGCGTACCTCGTGCACGGAAACCAACGGCTACCTATCTGCCCCCAGGAGCACGTAGGACACATGGCTATGTGGAGCAAAGGCCCAGGAAAAGTGACGTCTGGCGTGATCACGAGCGCAGGCCTCTGTGTTTTCATTGTGGCGAAGCGGGTTATCTGTACAGATTCTGCCCTTACCGACAGGCTGGATTAAGAGGCTTTTATATATATATATATATATATATATATATATATATATATATATATATATATATATATATATATATATATATATATATATATATATAGTCCTGGCTTTGAGATTATTTTTTCATTGGAAGGGTAATGCAGCATGTGCCGAAATTAAAGCGTCTATGATATATGCACTTACCTTATGGGGCAACGGCGTTGAAACATTCATCGACGTCTTCAAAAACTTGGTTCCGGAAGCTGTCCCTCAACTTACTCATGACTTGGACTCGAATGAAATTGCCGATCTTGGTGATTCTCGCTTCGCAAAGGACTGAGTTGCTGACGCCGTTGTCATAGTTGACGTCGTAGGCAGCGAGGCCGAACTTCATGCCAGGGAGGTCAACGTGGGCCTTGCAATACTGCAGCAAAAACCAAGACGACTTTTGAATTGGTTGTCATACACACAACATTGTTTAGGGCTCAGGAAGTGAAAAAATGTTTGAGGTGTAATAAAATACAATCAGTATTCGCTCACTAGGGTCGCCACTGATTTTCGAGCGAGATTCGTCTTAGAACAACATACCAAACTAGAGGGTACTAGAGCTGTGAAGAAGTCGACAAACTATTCACGACATTGGAGCTGTGGTTACAAAACGCTTCCTGATTGTTCATCAGCCACTTCAGGCATGATAAATTGAAGACGCCTAAAGGTTTTGAAGCACCTAAACGAAGTTCAACACCACCTACTCGCCACACGCAATGCAGTCCGCTGACCTTACTGGCTGGAAGGTTGCTGGCTGATGTACCAGTGTGCCAGTGCCTGCGAGATATAACTGAATATGCAGTTTCACAAAAGAAAGAGGGACTTTATAAATACGCGTAAATTATGCCTTCTACTGGTGGGTGGAAAACTAAGAAACTTAGAAAAAATGTTATCACCCGTTTGTCTGAAGACACTGAACACAGAAGGTCTAAGTCGGGAAGTAAGCTGAAAGTAGCCAGATATTTTCCGTATTCCCATTCGTAGTTTAAGGTCTCCATGGGCCTCAGAAAATCGCCAATTTAGTGAAAAGTAGCCTCCAGTATCCAACCTGCCACTGAGGCTTAACGTCCCTAGACGACGATATGAGTACGCGGGATGCCACCGTGAGGGCTCCAGAAATCGTGACCATCGGGGCTTTTTACCGAGAAAATCAATCAATACATGGGCCTCAAGCATTCCTGCTTTGTTCCAAAGTAAAGCAACCACAGCTGGGATTCAATACCTTAACCTACTAAACAGTAGTGTAGCGGTATTACCACTATACCACCATGGTGGCTTTAATAACTAAATGAGCTGGCAACGTTAAGCACTCGATGTAGTACATTGTGGGGTGCATAAGTTTGAGAAAACTTTTCAAAACCTAAATATCTGAAGCTCCGATATTATTCTTCACCTGACGCTGCATGGTATTTTGAAGGGCGCGATGCATTTGTGAAGTGTGAAGCAACTACATGCACAGAGAGTGAGATAAAGAGATCGCACGAACGCTTTGGCCATTATATTTTAACAGTTCAAGCACGTCAGCAGCATTAGGTATACAGCGCAGGTATACGTATACAGTGTAGGACACGGAAATATACACGACAGCTTTGACGCGTGTCCCCTTCCTCTGTCCTAGGCATATACGTGCATACTTCGCCTATGGTGTTTTCACAATACTTCCGGCGCATCAGCAGCATTACGTGTACACCACATGTATGGGTACAGATTATATGACGTGAAAACGAACACGCAGGTACGCAGAACAGCGCAGGTACAGGTACACAGTGTAGGACTCTGAAACAGATAGTGATTTCTTAACGATACTGCCCCCTACTGTGACCTAGGCATTCACACGCATATTTTACCTATGGCCTTTTCACAACATTCCAACTACGCCAGCAGCAAGAGGTATACAGTACAGCTACAGGTACCAAGTGTGCGAAACGGAAACATACAAACCGACACGACATCATCGACGCATGGCCCCACCACGGTGGTCTAGTGGCTAAGGCACTCGGCTGCTGACCCGCAGGTGGCGGGATCGAATCCCTGCTGCGGCGGCTGCATTTCCCATGGAGGCGGAAATGTTGTAGGCCCGTGTGCTCAAATTTGCGTGCACGGTAAAGAACTTCAGGTGGTCGAAATTTCCGGAGCCCTCCACTACGGCGTCTCTCATAATCATATGGTGGTTTTGGGACGTTAAACCCCACATATAAATCAATCATCGACGCATGCCTCTTCCCAGTTATCTAGGAATATATGGGCATACTTTACTTATGTTCTTTCCACAACATTCCCACTAAGTCTGCAGCATTCAGTATACAACGCACGTATAGCTACGCACTGTAGGATAGGGAAACAAACAAGGCAGCTATGACACGTGTTCCTGTCCTGTGACTTAGGCATAGAGACACATACTTTGCCCGTAATATTTTCTGAACACTCTCAGTACGTCAGCAGCATTATGTAGAGAGCGCAGGTATAGGTACACTCATACAGACACGGATTTCCTCGCTTTTGCCCCCTTACTTTGGGGTGGAGGTGGTGGCAGAGAGCCAGCTCTATTCTTTTTTTCTTTCCCGTTTTTCTCTCCGCCACAGATGTGCATTCGTATATAATGCTGTACGTGCTCACTCGGTTGCACTCTCCTAGCCATTGTGGGTGTTCACTCCGTGCCAAAAGCATGGTAATACACACAAATGTGAGGGGGGTAACATAGGCGGTATACACCATACTCCGCACACAAATGAAACATACATGAAACCACGCCAATGGAAACAGCAAATGAAAGCACTAGGGGACAGCAGCGCCGCTTCGCTTCCCTTCAAGGTTCCCTTTTTTGGAAGCCAGTATAATTTTTTGGTCACTGCGTCTACTTGGTTTTGCGCTTTTGGTGGTGCGAAAATATGACCACATCTACCTTAGTAGAGGAGCCTTGTGCAACAAGAATATGCCGCTCTCTATGCCTCTGAGGGCTGGCATCATTATGCTTTAGTAGGAGTAATATAAACGAGGCCACAAGAAGCACATGACCGGGTCGACTGGTCGTACTTAGGAAGGACCTGCTGTGGACGTAGTCGAGCTCACCATGATCATGACGATGTCGGATATAAATACAGCACCTTCACTTGGGCGACGCGGAAACCGGCAAACATGCGCCCGCAAAAGAAGAAAATAATGACGGCGCTTGGCTGTGGCTCATGAACCCAACTCTGACGTTCTCTGCTGCCGTTGATGGTGGTTCAGCAGTCTCTTTCTTTTTCTGTTGTGCTGGTAAGACTCTATGACACTAATTGTGTCTTTCAGGGCAAGAGCGAAGGGAACCATAAAGCTATTACTGTCCTTGAGGTATTGAACTGCATTGTGAGAAGCACTGAGACAACGCTCGAGATTCTCAACGAAAGTTAAGCGACCGTGTCTGATGGCCTTTCCAGAGGAGTTATTAAGCAGTGTGCTCCTGTTTTCGTTCTGCCATTACGTAATCTATGAAAAATAATTATATACATGTCGGTTTCTATAGTCGGAAAGTAGCAGACGTAATCCTGACTCATAAAAGGGTTTCCAAGAACGAATTCATAACATATAGACCTAATTCACCTATGTGTAAACTGTGCAAGATTATTGAGCACAAAGCGTAGCAGGCTACAATGAGGCAGTACACTAGGAAATGGACGTTTTTCAGAACTTGCTTTGATTTACCACGAAACCTCTTGAGCTGTACAACAATCTGCAGCTGATTTACGTAGGCAAGCAGACAGCATCTTTTTGAACTCCAGCAGAGGCTGTTACACTGCTTTCCAGCCTCTGGTGTTGGAAAAGTTACGAATATGAATTGTACAATGAGGAATTCTCAACTGGATCGGGAATTACTAGTCACAAGGCGGCCAATGCGTGGCGGTCAATGACATTAAGTGGGATTTTCTCGAGACCATGTTAGACGTCTCACGGAGGTCTCGGTTTCATCCTCTGCTATTTATAATGCATACTGAGATTAGCTTTGCATAAGCCTCGAGTTTACGACCCTGTGCTGATGATTGCGTTATATGCAGAAAAAATCTGGATGAACTTGATGTTCTTGAACAACAGGAGTGGCTGGTCAAAGTGGAACACTCGGCTCCCATACCTACTACACGCTTTTGCAACCACCGATGCACGTAGCAATGACCCACCACACCGGCAGCGCCTTGTGTCGAGGATACAAGAGCTTCACTTGCAGACCAGGTCATTCCTCGTTAACGCGTGCAACGTGGACTGTACGTTATTATCGCAAATACTTTGACATCACTTCTCACGCCATAGCAACGACAACGCCATCTTCAGTTCCCTTAGAATCACAGAAAAAGCCTGACAATGACGAGTCAAACTACAAGGTGTGCCGATTGACGCTTACCTTTCGAACGAGGCTTTCAGCGTTATCGAAAGCGTAATATTTATTCTTGATGCCATTGTATATTCGTGCACCTTCAAAATCGGTCAGCGTTTCAAAAGGGTAAGGAACGCCTCGCTGTATTGCAGAATTGTCGATGCCATCACAGCCCTGTAAAGAAATAGAACAATGTAATTTCTTGCGGGCGGATACTAATTGCTTTCAAAGGCTAAAAGAGCATTCGAAAGCAATGACTTTCTGGTCAAATAAGACATCATCTTTGTGTCACTAGAGGCGTAAAATAGCACGGGTTATATGAACTTCCTGAATGGAAATGTATTATCTCCGTTTCATTACTATTAAATTATGCGTAGACTGTCTGTAGAGCCTTAGGCGTGCGCAGGACTCTCCGTTGGGGCGGGTCATTGATAAAGTGTCACTGCAGTGCAGTACCTTTTACTCTAATTGTCCAAGTAACAAAAAACGCCCCGTCATGAATAAATTTATGAAAATAAAACGAGGACGTGCTTCACTCATGGCCCGCGTTTCATCGTCTGCTGGTATTTTGGCCTCGTTCTTTTTTTCCTCGCTTTAGTGCGGAGAGCATGTTACAACTCAGATTGAACCATGGCCCTCCTCGATTTCGTATGTGCGCTCACGCGAAAAGAAACAGTATATGTATAAACTCGTACTTGCTTGCCCGCACTGAACGCTTCATAAAGCTGTGAGAAAACATTGCCGACTACTTCCCCGAAGGGAACCCTAATGGAATGCGCAGCAGCAGTGGTGCGCACGGTGTGGACCTGGTTGAAATGGGTGTCGATGCGGCTGCTGGAAGAACGATTTGAAGCGAAACTCGGTGTAGCGTTTACTCGAGTAAACGTCTGTTTAAAACGCGAGAACATGGCAGGCGGGTTAGGTTTGGTCATGTAGTTGTATAGTAAACAACATTATTATGGTTTG